TGTTTTGACACATTGTCTGAGTTTGTTTCCTCTACTTGAGATGTTCTCCCTAGTCTTATCTAGTGGGTCTCCTCTAATCCAGCTCCAACATCACTGCCTTTGAAGACCAACCCCCTGCCTCTGTACATAGATAGATCTGATGGTGCTTTCCTTTGTGCCCAATTCTACAATTAATACCTACTTACTGCATTACTAAGTGTCCTTTAGGTCCTGTTTATTATTTCCTTTAAGGCAGTGACAGGATCTAGTTGTCAGTCTATTAACTGATACTTCTCTTCCTAGTATGCTGAACAAATAAGCTGCTAACTTTTTTTTAACCTGTATCAATTATTCCATTATGCAAATTGTTATTCTTTAAATGTGCCCATTCCAGCAGATTTTATAAATTTTGACCATTTTGAGGGGACTTCAGAAATACTATTATCTTGAGTTTTTACTTTTGTCACCTTTTACTATTATATAGTTAAATGCATTGTTATATAAGTAGTTTGTGGGATTGACTATAGGTATATTCCTTTTATGGAAGTTGCTTGTTTTTCTTTTTTAAAAAGGTATTTTATTATTTTTATTTTATGTGTATGAGTGTATTACCTGAATGTATGTAAGTGCATCTATATCTGCATTGCCCACAGAGGTCAGAAGAGCTTGTTGCATTACCTAGAACTAGTGTTACAGACAGTTGTTAGCCACCATGTGGGTGCTGGGAATTGAACCTGGGTCCTCTTAACCACCCAACCATCTCCAGCCCCCAAAAGATGCTTTTTAAAAATATTTATTATTACTTTTATTTTATGTGTATGAGTGTATTGCCTGCATGTAGGTAGGTGCATCAGTGTTGTGCAGTGTCCCCAGAGGTCAGAGGCCCTCAGATCCCCTGGAACTGGAGTTATAAACAGTTGTTAGCCGCTATGTGGTGTTAGCAATTGACCCCTAGTCCTCTGCAAGAGCAACCAGTGCTCTTAACCACTGAGCCATCTTGTCAGCCCAGAAGATGCTTTTTTAAGTAATGTGTGAGTATGCATATATTTACTTTTGGAATGTAAACACTTTGCTTGACTGAGGGGGGTTTCACAATTGTAGTATGAGAAATACACTTTGACAAAGTTTGCCACAAACAAAAAAGAAACATTATTAATAAAGATATACTTATTTCTGTATGTATTGGCTACTAGTATACTAAGGAAAATAAAAATAATAGGAAACTCATATTTCAGCATTTAGTCTTTTGGGCTTTTTTTTGTTTTGTTTTGTTTTTTGTTTTTACACAGGCTATAACTTGCTTGGCTTAGATGTCACTGTGTAGCCCAGGCTTGCCTTGAATTTGGAGTGATCCTCCTGTCTTGGCCTCCCAAATCTGGGATTATAAGTGTAAGCCACCATTTTCAGCTAAATATAGATTTTTTTGTTTTGTTCTGTTGGTTTTTAAAAAGAATTTTCCTGTGGGTGCTTTAAATTTTTTAAAAACGTTTCATTTACTTACTTAATGTGAGTATGAAAGTGTGTGGCTGTATACACACACAGAAGTCAGCAAACAGTTTGAGGGAGTCTGTTCTCTCTTTCCATCACAGGGGTTCTCCAGGTTCTGGTGCTCAAACGCAGGTCATTTGGTTTGACATCAAGTGCCTTTACCATCTTGCCTGCTCTCATTTAGTTTGAAGTGGTTTAGTTTTCCTTGAACTGATCCTCCACCTTCACATCCCAAGTGTGCAAGTGCTGGCACTGCATGTGTTATACAACACACTCATCTTCCAGCTTCATTTTCAAAAGACTCATAGGACTGTTTTTCTGCCTAAGAATAGTTTGAGGGTCAGTGAAATGACTCCGAGGAGAGGTGCTTAGGTACAGGCCTGAGATCTTGAGTTCTATCCCGGGATCCCACACGGTGGTGAGAGAATCAACTTCGGGCTTGAATTTGATGTGACCATAGAGAACTTAAAATAGTATAAGGGAAGCTTATCTTGAAGTAGGACTTAACGTACCTAGTAGATATTCCTCTTTGCTCTATCAATGAGTTTAAAATCTTCGTTTGTATCGCATCAGATACTAGGAAACTTTCGCTGTCCTCTCATATTATGCTAGAAGTATCCTGAGAAACCCACTGAAGTTAGTGCTGTTAATTATCGTTACCTCCTGGTTTTCTTACTGTCAGATACCTGTATGCAGATGCTGCCAAATGCCAAATAGAAGCACTTCTGGAGGAACTCGTAACAATTTAAGGAATAAGGAGGAAAGGACCTAGAACAGTCTTAGAGCAGATTAATTGGGGAATTGCTGTGTAGCTTTCTCCCATTTGGGCTGAGATGCAGACAAAAGCAGCATTTATTCTGAGTGTAGCATTAGGAATGAGCACTGGCATAACTATGGCTCATGCCTGTAATCCCAACACTCATGTGGCTGAGGCAGAAGAATCAGGAGTTCAAGATCAGTCTGTGCTACATAGTAATTTTGAGGGCAGCTTGGGCTACATGAGATCCCCTCTCAACCTCCTCTCCTCACCTCAAGAAAGAACCCTGGGACTAGAGAGACCTGCTGTGTACTACAGAGGTAGGCCTACTGTTCTTCGGCTCACTCAGAAAATAAGCTACTCATACACCCTGATCAGAAGCAGCAAGCTACTCCTTTCTGCCATTAAAAGGACTGGAGACAAGGGGCTGGAGAGATGGCTCAGCAGTTAAGACCACTGACTGCTCTTGCAGAGGACCCGGGTTCGATTCCCAGCACCCACATGGCAGCTACAAACCGTCCTTAACTCCAGTTCCAGGAGAATCCAAAGCCCTCTTCTGGCCTCCGTGGCATTGTACAACACAGGTGCACTCACATACATGCAGGCAATATACTCATACACATAAAATAAAAATAATAAAATATTTTTTAAAAAAGGATTGGGGACAAGCTGTAAGTAAACCAAACAGGAAAGTTGAAAGAAGCACCAAATAAGTAGAACACAGCCTCATAGAGATTATTGCATACAGAGAAAAGGAATTAAAATCTTGAAAGTTCAAAATCAGGAGAGTCAAAATAATCTGAGCAGCAAAATGGGCATAGCTGAAGAGCATGCTAGTAAACTGAAAAATGGAGCTGAAGGATTTTCCCCAAAGCATAAAATGAAAGGTGAAACATTGAAGAAAAATAGGAGATGCAGGTTAGATCCTAACATTCTAATACCCATTTACAACAGCTGATCAGGAGAGAGTGGGTGGCTGTAGGTAGAGGGCAGAAGAGGAATGGAATCACAGAGGTGTTAGGAGTCAGCTGTGTTCTGTCTTTAAAATTAGTGACAGTGCTTAATTTTCCTCATTATAAGGGTTTCTGTAGAATTTTGATCGGTTATCAAGTCAAGGAAATTTATTCTATCGCTACCCAAAACTAGTAGTTTTGTTGCTTTTATGATACTGGGATGTTGAGCTTTTTTTTTCCAGCAAGAAGTGAGATAATCACCTGGTTTTGCTCTTTTTAACTTGTAAACAACATTATGAGTGCTGAACTTTACATTGGGATAAATTCTTTTGGTATTGATATTTCATTTGTTAATATTTTGTTTTGCTTAAGTGTTTGTTTATAAGCGGTTATAGCTTTATTTGTGAATCTTACATTTTCACCAAAACTGATTGTTCAGGATTTTTAATTTTTTTTATCTTTAAAACTTTATTTTATGTATATGAGTGTTTTGCCTACATGAATGTAAATGTACCACATGTATGCAGTGCCTGCAGAGAGTATCTGGAACTGGAGTTACAAATGGTTGTTTGGGGGCTAAAGAGATGGCTCAGAGGTTAAGAACACTGGCTGTTCTTGCAGGAGACCTGGGTTTGAATCCCAGCACCCACATGACAGCTAACAACTGTCCATAACTCTAGTCCCAGGGGATCCAACAGCCTCTTCTGACCTCTGTGGGCATTGCACGACATGGGTGCACTTACCTACATGCAGGCAATACATTCATACACATAAAATAAAAATAATAAATAAAAAACAAACAAACAAATGGTTGTTTGCCACAATGTGGATGCTGGGAATCAAGTAGGTCTACCACAAGAGCAGCCAGTGCTCTAAATCCCAGTCATTCAGTTTTTTAAAGAAAGTTTCAAGAGGCTAGAGAGATGGCTTAGTAGTTAAGAGTGTTTACTGAACCTGGGTTCATTTCCCAGTACTCATAGGGTGGCTCCCAACCTTACCTGTGATCTGATGCCCTCTTCTGGCCTCCTCAGACTCCTGCACACACATGGTGTACATGAACTCATGCAGGCACACACATACACATAAATTTTAAAAAATAAAATAAATCTTAAAAAGAAAAAAATAAAAATTCAAAATGACTAAGATAGCACATATATTCTAAAATCAAAATAAATCCATATTGATAGAAACGCTTTAGGGTATTTATAGAAGAAAATCTAAAGTCTTCTAAATAGTAAAGGTTTAAATAAATTTTTATTTCAAGAGCTATTAAGGTTGGGGAGTAGCCTAGTTGGTAGAGTGCTTACCTAGCATGCACAGAGCTCTGAGTTCTTTCCCCAGCACCACATACAGCTGGCTATGGTGGTATACAACTGTAATCCTAACAGGGGGAAGGAGAGGCAAGAGCAGCTACATAGCAACTTTGAGGCCAGCCTGGGCTACATGAGACCCTTTTTCAAAAACAGGCAAGCTGCTGGAGAGATGGCTCAGCAGTTAAGAGAGCTTGTTGCTCTTGCAGAGGACCAGAGTTTGGTTCCTAGCACCCACACACTCATAAATAAAAATAAATCTTTAAAACAAAAAGATAATGTAAAATTTTTATAGTTTGTTGCTTGCATTTACATGTTACTATTTTTATTGTTTACTTTGTGGGAGGTTGTTTTGGCTGTAGATGCAGTTTTGCTGATTCTAGCCCAGACTGACCTTAAACTCAAGATGCCCCTGCTTCTACCTCTTCAGTACTGATTGTAGATGATGCTCAGTATACCCAGCTGCTTGTTTCACTGCACAATGTGCTTACTGTCAAATTTATTTTCCCTTAGGTACGTATAGCTGCTAAATTTATCACCCATGCACCCCCAGGAGAGTTTAATGAAGTATTCAATGGTAAGTAAAGATTAATATTGAGTTGTAACTTATTTATTTTATGTGTGCAAGCATGTACCACAGCTTGTGTGTGGAGGTCAAAGGACAACTTGTGGGAGCCACTCTTTACCAAGTGGGTCCTGGGAGTTGAACTCAAGTCTACAAGATTGGCACAAGCGCTTATCTTCTAAGCCATCTCACCAGTCCTTCCTCTTTCTTCTGTTTGGTCCTTTGTGGCCCAAACTGACATTGAACTTTTGATCCTGCTGCCTCAACCTCCTGAGTGGGAACACAAGTATGTAGCAACACACACCTAGCTGTTAGTGCTTGTTTCTTGGATACCTCTCTTAGGCAAGAAAAGACGTAAGATAGTTAGCCAGGCCAGGCATTGTAGCTCACACCTGTAATCCAAGCATTTGGGAGGCTGAAGGAAGAGGTTTATTACAAGTTTCAGGGCAGCTTTTACTAAGAGTAAGACCCTGTCTCAAAGAACCAAAAATAAATAAAGATTCAAAATAGCTTAATATAAAAAAGAACAACATTAAATTGCCTTTTAAATTATTTTTAATAGCTTTATTCTTTTAATTTTAGCATTATAAGTAACAACTTCAGTATCTCACTGCTTTCCCTCAAGAAGTCCCGTACTGTAGGATACTTTCTAGGACCAATATGGCTGAACTTACCATATCTGGAGTTTATTAAATTTTCAGATTCAGCCAGAAATGGTAACTCATACCTATAATCCTGGTACCCAGGAGGCATAGGCAGGAGGATTACTGTGAGTTTCAGGCTAGCCTTGGGTACAGAATGAGACTTTGTTTCAAAAATAAAACAAACCGTTCAATAAGTTTACAGATTCTGCCTTTTCATCCTCTCAGGACTCTCATTTATTAGATCTGAGATTTGCTGGGTGTGATGGTACATACCTATAATATTAGCACTTGGGAGGTTCCAGGGCAACCTGGGCCTACTTAGTGAGACCCTGTCTCAAAAACCAAACCTCTTCTTCTTTAATCCCAACATTCAGGAGGCAGAGATGGGAATTTCTTAAGTTTGGGGCCAGCCTGGCCTATATACATAGTGAGTTCTAAGGAGCCAGGGCTACACAGCCAGATCCTGCCTTTTTTTTTAAAAAAAAAAAAAAAAAGAGTTCTTATTCACGTGGTTCATGTATGCCAGGTGTAGAGATGCATGCCTATAATCCTAGCACTTGGGAGGTGGAGGCAGGAAGATCAAGAGTTCAAAGTCAGCCTTAGCTACATAGTGAGTTAGAGGCAGCCTACTTAATGTGAGACCTTGACTCAAAAACATCAGGCTGGGCATATATACCTTTAATCCCAGTACTTGGGAGGTAGAGGCAGGTGGATCCCTATGAGAGGCCAGTCTGATCTACATAGAGAATTTCATGCCAGTTGGGGCTACAGAGAAACCTTGTCTCAAAAAACCAACCAACAACAAAAACAACAAAATTTTTCTGAGGGCTGGAGATGTAGCTCATTTAGTAGAGTGCTCACCATGTACTAAGCCCTGGGTTCAGTCTCTACTGTACATAAACTGGGCGTGTGAAAGCAAGAGGATCAGGCGTTCAAGATCATCCTTAGCTACTACATAGCAACGGAGTTAGAAGCCAACCTGAGCTTTAAGAAATCCTGTCAAGAAGGACAGATGGAGAAAGGGGATAAGGGGAAGAGAAAAAGAGACACTATTAAATTCCTTGAGAATTTTTTGTTGGTACTGTAATATTATATATGAACCTGTGGGCATTAGCATCTCTTACTCCTTAGTATCTTTAGAATTTCTGTACATGTAATATACCTGAAGACTAATCTTGCAAACTCTGAATTTTAAAAATATATTCTAGAAATTGGCTAAAAAATATTCAAGTTTGTTCTGTACTCAGTGTTTCAATGTTTTTGTTCTCAGATGTCCGGCTACTACTTAATAATGACAATCTCCTCAGGGAAGGGGCAGCACAGTAAGTATTTTTTTTTAATAAATCTACTTGGGCTGGGAATATAGTTCAGTGGTAGAATTCTTGACTAGCGTGTATGAGTCTTAAGTTCAATTCCCAGCACCCAAAACAACAATACTTACTGTATTATTCTAACATTGGATAAGCTATGGTGACAGCATGGCACCTTGAAAACCTAGTTTAAGACATTTCAAAATAAAATTCTTCATGTTAGTTAACTTTTTGTAGCTGTGACCAAAATATCTAAGAGACTAGCTTAAAGGAAGAAGTTTGTTTGTTTGTTTTGGCTAACAGTTTTATTAGTCCATTGATTCTTGCCCAATGGCCTAGATAGACCATTAGAACATGTGACAGAGATTAGTTACCTAATGGCAGACTGGAGGAGGAGAGAGACAGACAGGGTCCTGGGACATGCTCCCAGTGACCTACTTTATCTAGCTAGGTCCTACCTTCTTCAGTTTCTAGAACCTCCTAAAATATCTATGACAGCTGGAGACCAAACTTTCAAAACCGAGTCAAGCTAATTTCTTTGACTACAGAAAACTATTGCCTAGGAAACAATTGAGTGCCTTTGTGGTAATGGTTAACATTCAAACTGTATATCTTGGTGGATTTCTTTTTTCTTTTTGAGGAAATATGTTTCCTCAAAATAATTGCTTTCTTAAAGCTTATTATATAAACTTATTTATTTTTTGTTTTCCTTAAATTTTCCCCTGTAAAGCAGAATTTAATGTTAGCTCTTGTTTTATCATTTTCCCAGTTCATGTGGGGAAAAAAATTTGGAGGGGAGACAGGGTCTCATTATGTAGCCGTGGCTGATCCAAACTTACTGTGTAGACCAGGCTACACAGCAATCCTTCTGCCTCTGCCTCCCAAGTGCTGAGATTACAGGTGTGTCCAGTCATAATATAAAGTTTTTTTTTAAACAGCTAGTTATAGAAAAATTAGCCTGTTAATGAGGACTGATAACCTTTCTCAAATTGCCAAATAATAAATAGGAGATAGTTGTTAAGGAGCTTTAACAGAATTAACTATAGGCCGAAAGCATGATTATTCCACCTATTCATTGACACCTGACTGCTGGCAGGCCAACTATCTTTCTAAAATATCACTTCCAGCAGGTTTGATGGTGTACACCCACCTGTAATCGCAGTGTTTAGGAGGTAGAAGCAGGAGAATCAGCTCAAGGCCAACTTCAGCTACTTAGCAAGTTCAAGGCCAACCTGAGCTACATTAGATCTTGTCACCAAAAAAAAATGTTATTTTCATTTTTCCCTTGTCTTCAAAAACATTATAGTAGTGGGGCTTGCTTGGTTTGGATTTTGTTGTGTGTTATCTTCTAGAATCAAGTCTTAACAGTATAGATTTCAGGCCCCTGTACATGGTTTCAGCAGTGCTCTGCTCTATTCTTCAACCCAAAGTTCCATTTAGTTACTGTCTACCCAAGCGGCCCAAAGTCTCTTGGTAAAGAGGAAACCTGAATTGGATATTGACTAGAAAGGGTTGGGGAGGGGAGGACAAGAACATCCTGATGCAAAACAAGTAACTATCATAAAGTCATTTTGGTATGATATATAATTTAGATTTAGATTTTAGATTCTGGATATAGAAAAGTGTTTTCACAATTGTTGCCTAGGAAGCAATGATCTGTCCTGTCCATGCTGCTTTGAGGGCTCATTTGGAGACTAGACTCTGTTAACATAGGATTTCTAGACCATTACTGTAATTTTCATTGTGAAGGATAGCCTAGTTGTGGTTTACTTAGGAGACTCAGGGGTGCATCTAAGATATGCTCTAATGTTGGTTTTTCTTCAGTGCACAGAACATGCCATTAAGAAGGGGATTCATGGTTTGCTAGTTTGGCTGTCTGCTTTTTCGTTGAACCTCATCTGTATCTGCAACACATGGCTATCCAGTCTTAATGCTTCTATCAATAAGTAGTCTTGTATCACACAAAGCAAATTCTTTAACTTGCCTGCCACATTGGTCATAATTTCATTCTTGAGAACTACCCAGAATAACTCTGCTCTGTATATCACTTGACAAAGTACCACAAGGAGTGGATTGCCTCTCAAAAGTGGTGGAAGTGCAGACCTGTAATCCAGCATTCAGAAAGCTAAGACAGGAGGATTAGCATGAGTTCAGGACCAACTTGGGCTACAGAGTAAGACCCTAACTCAAAAAAATAAATAAACAAAACTGATTGAAAGTGAAACCTATCATTCCATTTCTATTTAGAACTGGCTAGAAAGTTGGTATGTAGTTCAGATGCTTCAGCTGTTTTAATTGCACTGACACTAATGCTTTCTATGTATAAATATTCTAATTCTTACAGATTCCAGGTTTTGGGAGAACCTTTTTGTTAAATGACAATTTCTTTGAGCCCAAATATTTAATTTTTTTCTATAGGATTTTTTTTCACTTTTATTTCTGGAATGAAATGCTTCAGTCTCTTGGTCATATTCTTCAGAGTTAGTGTGTAGTACATGTTGTAGTAATCGTCACCATCATCATTGCTTTCTGTAGAGAGTGAAGAAGACCTTACTATAGCTAGGTGTAAACTATATATATGGATAATACATTAGCTAGGCCTAGGATTTACCTTCTTCCGTGTGTGTACGTCAGTGCTTCTAACCACCAGAAGGATCCCCTGACAGTGCCTTGCACTTCTGATATAAGTAGGGTTTTTTGGTCATGTAGTTGAAGGTGAATTTTATTTTGAGTGAGATCTGACATTCTTAAGAGTATTAAACACAGGAGGACATGATACAACTTAAAGTTTAGAGTAATTGCCGGGTGTGGTGGCGCAAGCCTTTGATCCCAGCACTGGGGAGGCAGAGTCAGGTGGATCTCTGTGAGTTCAAGGCCAGCCTTGTCTACATAGTGAGCTCCAGGACAGCTGGGGCTACAGAGAGACCCTGTCTCAAAACCAAAAAAAAAAAAAAAAAGTTTAGAATAATCACCAGTGTGTATGGGGGGGCATAGGCTAAATCAAGCAAGAGGTGGATGTAGTGGTTTATACTAGAGTGGAAGCACTTGGGTGGGGAAAGAAGTCAGATTTTTATTATAATTATAGAATCGAAAGATTTACTGGTGGCTTGGATATGAAATGTGAGAGAAAAAAGTCAAGGATGTCTCTAAAGTTTTTGGATTGAGCACCTGGTAAAATGGAGACACTATTTACTTTTCAATTTTTTTAAACAGCGCATTTGCCCAGTATAACATGGATCAGTTCACACCTGTGAAGATAGAAGGCTATGAAGACCAGGTAATAACGACCTGTTAGATAGGCTGTGTGTGGCAGGGGGTAGCAATGTAGAAATCAAAGCAGATAGAGAGTAAGTCGGGTGCTAAATAAGTCCATGTCTTAGTTTTAAAAGTAGTCTACATATTAGGATATTTTTCCTCTTTCTGATAATACTAGTAGTTTTCTTTGACTGAAAAAAATGCTGTTGGGCTGGATATGGAGCTCAATTATAGCATATGCATATGCAGTCCCTCGGTTCCAGAGAGATAGACAAAGCAAATCTAACAAAAGTAACAGGAAACATTAGATTTAGGCTATTTTGAGTTACTCCAGGAGTTTGCTAGTAAGGAGACAGGGGTGAGAAAAATATTTCATTTCATATATTTTTGAACCATGTAACTGTATTACCTATTTTCAATCATCAGAATAATATAATGACTCTGAAATGTTTCATAAAATATATGGAAAAGCAAACATAAAAGTTGATATTAAAGCTAGGTATAAAATACATAAATAGTTAGAGACCAAGAAATGAAGGGTATTGTTAGGAAGTGGGAAAATTTGCCCATAAATGTAATACTTTTGGGGCTGGAGAGAGATAGCTCAGTGGTTAAGAACACTGGTTGTTCTTGCAGAAGATCCAGGTTTGAATCCCAGCACCCAGCTAACAACTGTCTGTAACTCCAGTCCCAAGGGGTCCAACAGCCTCTTCTGACCTCCGTGGGCATTGCACAACACGGGTCCACTTACCTACATGCAGGCAATACATGCATACACATAAAAATAATTTTAAAAAAATTTTTTTAATGTAATACTTTTATGAGAATAAAAATGGTTCTTAGGCCGGACATGGTGTCACATGACTTTAGTCCCTGCGCTTGGGAGGCAGAGGCAGGTGGATCTCCATGAGTTCGAGGCCAGCCTGGTCTACATAGTGAGTTCCAGGCCAGCTGGGACTACAGGGAGACCCTGTCTGAAAGACAAAAAAAAAAATTCTTGATTAAAAAGTCAATTCAGGGGCTGGAGAGATGGCTCAGCGGTTAAGACCACTGCTCTTGCAGAGGACCCAGCACCCACATGGTGGCTACAAACCATCCTTAACTCCAGTTTCAGGAGAATCCGAAGCCCTCTTCTGACCTCCGCAGCATTGCACAACATGGGCGCACTCACATACATGCAGGCAATACACTCATACATATAAAATAATAAATAAAATATATTTTTTAAAAAGTCAATACAAAAAAGAAATCTAAATGAAAAACTAACTTTTCAATATTTATTTGTTTTTGTAAAACAAGATAAGAATTGTCTTTATAGCATTACTAATGTTTGTATTTCTTCTCTGGAAGGTCCTAATCACTGAGCATGGTGACCTGGGTAATAGCAGATTTTTAGATCCAAGAAACAAAATTTCCTTTAAGTTTGATCACTTACGGAAAGACACGAGTGACCCCCAACCAGAGGATGTAGATGGAGGTTTGAAGTCATGGAGAGAATCCTGTGACAGCGCTTTAAAAGCTTATATGAAAGATCATTATTCCAATGGCTTCTGTACTGTTTATGCTAAAACTATAAATGGGCAACAGACAATTATTGCATGTATTGAAAGCCACCAGTTTCAGCCTAAAAGCTTTGGCCCTGCAAACATTTCTTTTCCTTTTGGTTATAATCTTCTCTGTATTTTAGATCCTAAATCAATTTTAAAATAATTTAAGTATATGGAAATTTTCTTTTTTAAAGATCCCAGTGCCAGGGCTGGAGAGATGGCTCAGTGGTTAAGACCACTGGCTGCTCTTGCAGAAGACCCAAGTTCGAGTTCCAGCACCCACATCGTGGCTAACAACCATCCATAACTCTAGTTCCAGGGGATCTGACCCCCTTCTTCTGACCTCCGTTGTCATTGCATGACATGGGTGCACTTACACACATGCAGCCAATACACTCATACACATAAAAATAAACAAATCACAGAATTCTTTTTTTAAAAAATCCCAGTGCCAGGTAGAGAGATGGCTCAGCAGTTAAGAGCATTGGCTCCTCTCGCAAAGGACCTGGGTTTGGTTCCTAGCACCCACATGGTGGCTAACAACTGTTTGTAGCTCCAGTTTCAGGGGATCCGTTGTCCTCTTCTGACCTCCAACATCATTGCATCACATGGTTGCACTTACAATACATGTAGACATAACATTCCTATACATAAAATAAATCCCAGTGCCTAATAATTTTAACTCTGTTTATTCTGTTTTGTATTTCTCCTATTTACTCACAAGAAATTGCCTATATCCATCAAAAAAAAGTTTTAAAAGCCAGGTGTGATGACAGACACATGCAATTCCAGCATTTGGAAGGTAGATGGAGGGCATCAAAAGTTTAACAGCATCTTTGACTACATAGCAAGTTCAAGGGCAGCCTAGACTACATGAGATCTGTCTCAAAAAAAATCATAGGGGCTGGAGTGGTGGCTTAGCAGTTAAGAGCATTACTGCTCTTCCAAAGAACCCACATTCAGTTCCTAGAACCCAGGTTAGTGGCTCACAACAGCCTGTAATTCCAACTCCAGGGGGATCTGAAACCTCTGACCTCCCCAGGTACCAGCCCATTATGCACATACCCCATACACATACATGTAATTTAAAGTAATAAAATCTTTTTTTTATTATTATTTATATTTTTGTTATGTTTTGTTTTTGAGACATAGTTTCAGATTTGCCTTGAGCCCTCCTACCTTAGCATCCTGGAGTATTGGGATTATAGGCAGATACCACCATGCCTAACTTTATTATTTCGGTTCATGGTGTTTTGTTTTGCTTTGTTTTTTGGTAATGGGCACTGAACCTACCACTTTTATATCCTCAGCCCTCTGTACTTTTTATTTTGAAACAAGGGTCTCACGAAGTTGCCAGGTTATCCTTGAAACTCACTCTATAGTCCAGGCTGACATTAAACCTTCATTCCTCCTACCTCAGACTCCAAAGAAACTGGGGTTCTAGGTCTTGCTTACTGCAATTTTTTTTTTTTTACTTTGTGGTTGATAAGTAAAATTGTGTATATTTGTGGTATGTACAACATGATGTTTTGAAATATACATTATCGTATGGCTAAGTTGAGCATATACATTAGCTTGCATACTTTTTCAGTTTGTGTGTGTGTGTGTGTGTGTGTATGTGTGTGTGTGTTTTTGAGACAGGGTCTCCCTGTAGCCCCAGCTGACCTGGAACTCACTTTGAAGATCAGGCTGGCCTCGAACCCACAGAAATCTGCCTGCCTCTGCCTCCAGAGAATGCTGGGATTACAGGTGTGTGCCACCACACCCGGTGCTTTTCAGTTTTTTGAGACAGCGTCTCACTCTATAACCTAACCTGTTCTTCAGCTGTAGGTGATCTCTTGTGTCGAAGTGTGAAGACATATAAAATACACTCTCTTCAGTCTTCAAATATACAATACAGTTTTGCTAGTTAGACTTAATTTTATACATGTAGTAATGATCGATTTAATGGGCACAATGTGTTAGGTAAGAGCACTTTGAAGCCTTACTAACTGGTTTGAGTCCTAACTGGATCACTTAACTAGTTGTATGACCTTAAGTAAATTACTTAACATCATGTGCCTCCATTTCCTCATCTGTAAAATAAAAGTAATAGTTCTTACCACATAGTGTTGTAAGGATTCAGTAAGTTAATATAAGATGCTTAGAATAGTGCCTGGCACAAAGTAAGCTCTAAGTGAATGGTAGAGGCCATTATTATTATGTGGTTGGGCTTTTTTAAATAATAGAGTAATCAGATCATGGTAGATAAGTACAGAACTCTTTTTCAAACATTGCAAAAAAGGAGACAAGATCTGCTCCCTCTTAGAAATCAGCTGCCCAATTCTATGGACACTTGCAACTTATCATTTGTTACTATTCAAAGTTTATCTAAAATTTTTGCAATTTTCATACAATATAATTTAATGGTATTTAGATTCCCTCCCATCTGTACTTCCCCCTTCTATCCCCCATATAATTTAATGTACTCTCTTACATATATAATATGGCTTATAAAGTCTGATTTGTGACCCCCAAATGTCCTTCAGTGTGGGTCTATCCACTGGGCCCATGAAGAGTTCCATCCCTATAAGACATTGTCTTTCCCCCTCCCAGAAGCCATCAGTTGCCAAAAGTTCCTTAGATTAGGTTGGGGTTTCTTACCCACTTCCCCATGTCTATACTGGAATTTTATCTGATTTAATTTTGGATAGCACTTATGCATGCTGTCACCATTACTGTGAGTTCATATGAGTAACTGACCAGCAAGATTGTGCCTCCTTGTGGTCATCCACCACCTCTGGCTATTACAATCTTTCTGCCCCCTCTTCTGCAATGATCCCTGAGCCTTGGGAGGCAAAGGTTTGACATAGGTGTCCTAGTCAGGTATAAGCACTCTGTGGCCTCTTGTTCTCTGCACATTGGTCAGTTATGGGATTCTGTGTTAATCACCATGTGCTGCATAAGGAAACTTCTCTGATGAGGGTTGAGAGATGCATTCCTCCTATGTGTAGAAGTTGCATTGAAGATGTGTCACTTAAAGTTAAGTGTCTCATAGACTCTGTGTTTGACCAGTTCTGAACTCTGTAATAGTCTCCATCTTGGCTAGTCAGGCACTGTCTGGCAGCCTCAGACCACATTCTTAATTTGGAGAACTCTACCATATAACCCTACTGGGGCCCTACTAGGTCTTATTTTCACTTCTATTAGGTATTATATGAGCAACAGAATTACTCTAATGTCTGCTGATTACTAGTGACCTACATCCTTAGCTGTCTTTAGAAGTCCCTAATTTCATCTCATTCCATATCAAATTTTCTATACAATGTGTTCCAGACATTTCCAATTGTTAGGTGAGCATCTGAACCCTACATTTTATTAGGATTGAGACTGAAAACAAAACCAAGATGACAACAACAAAAAGTTTACAGTGCATTTAGTATAGGGAATCTGGGTGTGATGCCTCATGCCAGAACTTGGAGTGCTAAGGCAAGAAAGATTGCCACAAGTATGAGACCAGCCTGGCCTACAGAGTGGGACCCTTGTTTGTCTCAAACAAACAAGGGAAGGAAAGTATACTGAAGACGCATTGAGGATTTTAAAGCACTGTTTGCTTGCTTCCTTTGGTGATTGCCTTTCTACTCACTGCTCCACTTCTCCCACTCTTGAGAGTTAATGTTCCTGAGTGTTATTTAGACATCTAGATTTCTCAGTCTGTTAATGATGCCACATTGTTCTATGCATCCAGGTGTAGAAATATTTTGGCTCCTTTTTTCCTTTGCTCTTTGATGATAGTGTGCAGCTAGACTTCTGATTATACTTCTGCATTCTGTGTGATGCCTTCCTTCCATTCTCATTCATAACACCCTACGTTATATCTCTGGCCTCCTAACCGACCTTTTTTCCATTTTTATCCAGTGCACTAATACTGATTTTTCTCCCAGAGTAATAGTTCTGATAGTGTTTTGTTGTCTCTGTCTATAGAATAAAGTCCAAACTTTTTACTTCACTTCTATTTAATACATGGCCGCCTTCTTTCTGTTTTGTTTCCCACTAGTCCACCTCACACAACTCCTCTATCCTGGCAGAATTAATTGCTATTTACTTAACATGTCCATGTTTTCCTGCCAGAGTTGTTTACTAGTCTTTATCCTCATTCTCTGCTTGTCAGAATTTCATGTGTTTTATAAGGCCCAGCCTAAATGGCACCTCACTTACACTGTTATATGCCAAGAGCAGTAACCTCCTCAGACTCATTGTACCACTGTTTCTGCTGGAACATAATACATCTGCTTTGTGATCATACCCCCAATAAGCTATCAAGTTACAAGTCTGTTCTGACTCTGTCTCCCTCAAGGATTTAGATTTAGCATACTGCTTTTGTGCAATTCATTGTTTAGAGTAAATGTGCTTTTCAAGTCTTAACTTTTTTTCCCCAACAATAGGTTTATGCTAAAACTATAGATGGGCAACAGACAATTATTGCATGTATTGAAAGCCACCAGTTTCAGCCTAAAAACTTCTGGTAAGAAATAGATGTTTCCTTCTATTTGTATCTAATTTATATTGGAAAGAAATTAGCAACAAGATTTGGTTTTTAACTATCTTAAGATAATTTTATTTAGAGACTTTAGTTTTCTATAAAATGAAGGATTTAGACATTGTTTAGATTCCTTCTAATTCTAAGATTTCATAATTATATCTCTAAAAATATTGTTATATTGAATGAGAACATGTAATTATTAAAGTACTCAGGTGAAAAAACTGAGTTTTCCTTGGGTTAGGGTTATTAATACTTGGAGTTAATTGTATAGATTAGCATTGAAGCAGCCTATCTGTTTTTAGAAGAGCCTTTCAGATCAGAATAGGCATGGTTCTACTTCAGGGGAAACAAAGGAAAAGATAAAGTCCAAGCAACTTAGAAAGGGCTTGTTTATGATCGGGCCACTTGAGTCCAAACTTTTGTTTGAGTGGACAGTCTTGAGTTTGTGACATTGAAAATGGCTCCCACCCCATTGCAAACTTCGGTGCCTCAGTGGCAGATCACTTCTTTCCTGTGCCTGTTGCAAATTCTGCAACATCATGTATGTGTATGTATTTTAATAGGAATGGTCGTTGGAGATCAGAGTGGAAGTTCACCATCACACCACCTACAGCCCAGGTGGTTGGAGTGCTCAAGATTCAGGTGAGATTCCAATGTATTTACAGGTGTTAGGTAAAACTTCACGTGTTAAAATAAAGATACCAGGTGGCCTTTGTTCTGGTATTAGAAATAGACTAATAGAACACTTCCCTGTTATGTACAAGGCCCTGGGTTTGATCCTAATGCCACATAAAAGAGTGGGAAAGAAGGAGGGGGAGAAGAGAACATGGAGGACTGAGTAAGTATTAAGTTGCAGGGCCTGGAGAGATGTTTCAGCTATTAAGAGCACTTGCTGCTCTTCCAGAGGACCTGAGTTTTGTTCCTAGTATCCACATTAGGCAACTCACAGCTACCTGCAACTCCAGCTCCAGGGGATCCAGTGTCATCTGAAGGTGCACACACATGTGCGCGCGCACACGCACACACACACACACACACACACAATTAAAAGTAAAATAAATATAAGTTAGGAGCTGGAGAGATGATGGCTTAGGCAGTTAAGTGCTTCCCATTCAAGAATGAGGACTGAGTTTGATTCCCAGTATTCATGTAGAGTCTTTTTTTTTTAATATTTTATTATTTTTATTTTATGTGTATGAGTGTATTGCCCGCGTGTATGTGAGTGCACCCGTGTCATGCGATGCCATGGCGGTCAGAAGAGGGCTTTGGATTCCCCTGGAACTGGAGTTAAGGACGGTTCATAGCCACCATGTGGGTGCTGGGAATCGAACCTGGGTCCTCTGCAAGAGCAGTTAGTGCTCTTAACTACTGAGCCATCTCTCCAGCCCCAGGAGTCTTTTATTATTTAACTTCTTTGGTTTTGTTTTTTTTTAATAGAATATATTCACAATTTTTAAAGGTTTTTGTTTCTTATGTTTATGAGTGTTTGGCCTGGTACCCATGGAAGCCAGAAGTGGGGTGTAGTATCCCCTGGAACTGGAGTTATAGACGGTTGTGAGCTTCCATATGGGTGCTGGGAACTGAAACTTAGTCCTCAGCAAGAACAGCCGCTAGTGCTCTTAACCCCTGAGCCACCTTTCTAGCCCTGTCATTTAACTCTTAGTTCTGGAAAAACTAAGAATAAAGTTTATTGTTGTTCGGTTTTTATTTTTGTTGGTAGAAAGGAATTTTTTTTTTAATTTTTTTTTTTTTTGGTTTTGGTTTTGTTTTGGTTTGGGGCTTTTTTAAAAAATGTGTGTGTTTTGCCTGCATGTATGTGAGGGCAACCACATGCAAGCAGTGCCCATAGAGGCCAGAAGAGGGAACTGGATCCCCTGGAACTGGAGTTCCAGGACATTTGTGAGCCACCATGTGGGTACTCCAGCCATGACATAAAGGTTTTTAAATTAGTAACTGGAGAGATGACTCAGCAATTAAGAGCACTGGCTGCTCTTGCAGAGGATGAAGGCTTGGTTCCCAGCACCCACATGATAGCTAACTACTGTCTGTAACTCCAGTTCCAAGGAATCTGGTGCCTTCTTCCATCCTCTATAGGCATTGCATGATGTGTGTCATACACGCAGGCAAAACACTTACAGAAATTCAATAAATAAAATTTTAATTTGAACTATAGCAGAACTATAGAGGCTGTCCAGGTGCCATCATCTTTGAAATACAGTCAAGTGGAGTACATCTTTAATGCTAGAGTCAGGACAGAGAGGAGCAGAATAAGGTGACTGTTAACTCACTTGCTGTCTTGTCTGGTTTGAAGTCTAATATCTTAGAAGACATTGGACTTTCTAATTCAGGAGATTTTTTCCAATCTAGCTAACTCCAAAGTCAGATTGGACAGTTCTGATAATGGAATGATCAGTATCTAATCGTGCCTATGTTACATTGAATTGTCTTAATAAAAAAAATTAGCAAAAGTTGTATTTTTCAACAATATAATTTAATCAAAAACAGGTAAGGAACAGAGGGATACAGCTCAGTGGTAGAGGGCTTACCTAAAATGCACAAGGCTGGGGTTCTATCCTCAGCACCAATAAAACAAGCAAAAACTCATTACATACATGCACATGCTGTCTGTATTCACCCTTGCTGCATGCACCTTATCATGCCTGCCTTTTTACCATGAGTTTTTGCTTTGAAAGTAGCCCTTGGTGAAATCTAAGATAAGAATGGTAGTTTGTACCCTTAGGAGCAGTGCTGAGCATGTACTGCTTTGCCCTTCAGAGTCCAGTGCCCACAGCTGTAACCAGTTCAGTAATGTACTTGGAACCCTTCCTTACCTGTTGTCCCACTGATCCCTTACTAATCCTTCCTGAGATTACCTCACAATAGGCTGCTTCTCCTCAAATCTTTTTCAGGGGTCTATGTCAGAGAGAGACCATCCTAAAACAAGAATATCCTGTTTTTGTTAACCAAACCCACAAGTGGCATAATACTCCAAACTTCTTATAACTTTGACATCAGCATTAACCTAGCAAAATTGCTATAAATCTATATAAATATATTTCCCTTTTGGACAGAAACAATTATTTGTGCTTTAGCTTTGCTATTGCAAACCTATGGTTAAAAATCTTTAAACAGGGCCTAATATCCCTTTGTTTATACCTTTTTATTTTTGTCTTTTTGAGACAGGGTCTCATGTAACCCAGGCTAGCCTTAAACTTGCTATGTAGCTGAAGATAACCTGAACTCACCCTTCTACTTCACTCTCCTGGGATTATAGGCATCTAGCTACCAAGCTAGACTTACTTACCTGTTTTATTTATATGCTTGGGATTGAGCGCAGTATATGAAACAAGTGCTGTACCACCAAGCAAAATTCCCAGCCCTGATTTTTGGGTGAACTACTATAAACCTTAAATTCCTAATCCTCCTGCCTCTGCCTCCCAATTGCTGACATTACAGGCCTATACTACCACATCTGGCTTGATTCTAATTACAGGGTATCAAAATATATCCCAGGTTGACCTTGGATACCTAATATCGTGTGTATAGTCCTCCTAAGTGCTTGGAGTTTGGCTTTTTATTTACATCTCTTAAAGTCTGAATAGGAACCAGTGAGATAGTTCAACCTGCAAAGGCACCTACTCTCAAGCCTAATGACCTGAGTTCAATCCCTAAACCTTATATGATGGAAGGAGAGAACCAACCCCTACAAGTTGTCCTCTGACCTCCACACATGAATACACATGCATACACAAACAAAATAATAAAATTTTTTAAAAAAGAATAACAATTTTGGCTATGAAAGGCTAAGCATCTCAATGTCTTTTCCAAGTAATCCTCAATCTTTTATTTATTTAATGAAATTTTATTTTTTTTTTTAATATTTTATTATTTTTATTTTATGTGTATGCATGTATGTAAGTGCACCCATGTCATGCAATGCCCACGGAGGACAGAAGAGGCTGTCAGATCCCCTGGAACTGGAGTTACAGACAGTTGTTAGCTGCCATGTGGGTGCTGGGATTCAAACCTGAGTCTTCTACAAGAACAGTCAGTGTTCTTAGCTGCTGAGTCATCTCTCCAACTCCAAAATTGCTATTCTGCAGACAAAAGGATATGCTAGAGGGCCCAGCATGGTGGTGCAGGCCTTTAATCCCAGCATGTGGGAGGCAGAGGCAGATGGATCTCTGTGAATTTAAGGCCACCCTGGTCTACGTAGTGAGTTCCAGGCCAGTGCTACAGGGAGACCCTGTCTCAAAAAGACCAAGGGGGAAAAAAAAAGGATATCAGGCATATTGTAATTTATATTGACAAATCTTTTTTTATTAGCAACTGAGCCCTGGAAATGGCTCTGTTTTTAGAACAAGTAGAGGATAAACTTGATTTCTAAAATTTACTATGTCAATAGTATATCAGCTAATGAAAATGACACTGATGCTTTCCAGTAGTTCATTTGAGGTCATAACAGTAAAGCTTATTGGCTTTCTATTTCTTTCTGTGTTGTAGTTCTTAAGAACCATAACAGATCATAGTGGCCCAGAAGCTGAGGCAGGAGCTACATAGACTGACTCAAAAGAAAAAAATTAAAAATGTAAAAAAGAACCATGGCAAAGGTTCAAATCGGTTGCATGTTCTTTTTTGTGATTTTTAAGATTTTGGGTTTTTGAGATATGATCTCACTCTGTAGCCCCAACTGGCCTAGAACTCACTCTGTATTTCAGGCTGGCAGCAATCCTCCTGCTTCATCCTCCTGCATATGAGCCACTGCACCTCACATTTCTACCTTAGCTCTAAAAACGTTTCTTGGCCTGGAGTTGTAGGTTAGTGGTAGAGTGTTTATCCAGCATGTGTGAAGCCCTAGGTTTGATCCCAGGACTGGACAAGGAAAAACCACTGCTGATCTTTAGCTAGCAAGATGGACTGGGCAGAGGCAGCAGTGTTGGACCTGAGACAAATACATAAAGACATTTCTTTTTGTTTAGATAAGTGCAGGTAGTAAATACTCAATATGGGTTTATTCTGTTTATTTAGGCTGCTATAACAAAACACTTCTGACTGGGAAATTTATAAATAGTAAGTTTACTGTTCCCACTTCTGGTGGCCAAAAAGTCCAAGATCAAAATGCCAACAGATTCATTGTTGGCAAGGGCTGTTCTTCACAGACAAAGCTCTGTTTGTGCATTCCCCTTATGTGCAAGGAACAGACATGGTGTCTTCATAAGGCAACAGCAAAGCAAGCAAGAGTCCTTTTTTAAAATAAATAAGGGTCGAGCCTTCATGTCTTAACTGATTCTGAAAAATCCCACCTCTTGATTCTATCACTGTAGATTATAGGTTCCAACATAAGAATTTTGTGAGGGTACCAACATGGAGACCATAGTACTAGATGAAAGAAATGGCATTACTACCACTCTCCGTCACCTATAATAGGATAAAATTTGAGTTCTCAATTTAGTTCATTAGTCTTTACTCTTGGCAGTCTGGCTTCACCTTGATAGCAGTGTCTTCTGACACACTCCTTTTCACATGTGTTCATCTGTAGTGCGGTCTTTGTCCTTCCTCAGCTGAACAAGTTATGCTTCTCATACTTAACCCTTGCTAAATGTAACCTCTGTCTTACTGCTTGGGTGACAGCACCTATGTTCAAGAACCTGTTCAAATGCACTTCTCAAAGGGTTCCCTTATCCTGTTTGGATAATTGAATATATCTTGCAATTTGCCAAAACTCTTGAGCTTTGCGTGTCATTGATCTGCTAGTCTGTCTCGTGCTTTTCCTTCTTGCCAATTGTTTTTTTGGTTTGATTTGGTTTGGTTTACTTTTGTTTGTGTGAGTGTTTTGCCTGCATATATGCAAGTACACCCATATCATGCAATGGCTGCAGAGGCCAGAAGAGGGTGTCAGATGCCCTGGAAATGGAGTTACTAATGGTTATTAGCTGCCATGTGGGTGATGGGAACCAAAACTCAGTCCTCTGCAAGAGCAGTCATTGTTCTTAACTGACTGCTAAACCATCTATCTCTTTGGCCCCATTTTCTTTTTTAAAAGATTTTATTTTTTTATTTTTAACTATTGTATCTGTATGAGTCTGTAAATGTAGATGCACATTAGTGCACGTGCAAGATCAGAAAAAAAGGTGTCAGATTTCCTAGAGCTGGAGTAGTTACAGGCAACGAACTACCTAACATGGGTGCTGTGAATCAAACTTTGGTTCTCTCGAAGAGCAGCAGGTGCTCATAACTGCTGAGCCATCTCTCCAGCCCCACTGTTTTCTTAATTTATAGCACCTCACTTTACACCTGCAAAACTACATTGCTATTTTGTTTTGTTTTCCTTTCTTTGTGGGAATAAGGGATCAAATCCAGAGTCTCATGTGTGCTCTGACATGCTAAGTTCATAGCTCCAAAATTGCTTTCATCACACCATTCTTTAACATGTAGTTATTGGGAAGTGGGGTGGTACATGCAGAAGTCAGGGGACAGCCCATGGAAGTTGGTTCTCTCCTTCCAGTGTGTCAGTCCAGGGATCAAACTCAGATCTTCAGGCTTGGCAGCATCTTTACCCACCAAGCCATCTTGATAACCTAACACTTTTTTAAAAAAAATTATTTTTATTTTATGTGTATGAGTGTATTGCCTATATACATGTAAGTACACCTATGTTATACAATGCTCATGGAGGTCAGAGATGGCATTGGATTCCTTTGGAACTGGAGTGATGAGTGGTTTTTAGCTACCATATGGGTGCTGGGAATTGAAGAGGTGCTGGCCCTCTGCAAGAGCAACTAGTGCTCTTAACCGCTGAGGCAACTCTCCAGCTCAACACTTACTTTTGTAATTTGCAATAAAATACTTGGTTTTCAGCTGGGCATGGTGGCACACGCCTGTAGTTCCAGCACTTGGGAGGGAGAAGCAGGCAGATCTCTGTGAGTTCAAGGCCAGCCTGGTCTACATAGTGAGTTCCAGAACAGCTAGGGCTACAGGGAGACCCTGTTTCAAAAAGACAAAAAAAAAAAACCTTGGTTTTCAGTCTGTCTTTAACTTTCAAGTTTTGACTGTATGGAATAATATCTATTTGCCAATGTCAATAACAGTGCATATGGAGAGAGAGAGATCAGATATTAGATACCAGGATCCATTAAGATTTCTTGGTTTTCACATAGAAAAACTAATGGTCCATTATTTTAATTATTTTTAGACTGTTAAGAGTAGGATCGTGCCACATATGGTGGCTCACTACTGTAATCTCAGCACTTGGGAGACAGAAATAGGAGGATTTCCGTAAGTTCCAGGCCAGCCAGAGCTACTTATCAGGTCCCTGTCATGAAATAAAAATAGGATGTTCATCTATTTGTATTCATAATATGTAGCACGGTACCTAGACTGTAATAAGCATTTTGTAAGTGTTCATTAAACTTAAGTGATCAGTTTTCCTATGCTAAAGAAAGAATTCTTTAATTTTGTGAATTTTATGAATTATCATTGAATTATCATTTATTCAGTTGGTAAATTGTTAAATTTAATTCTGTGAATTTTATTAATTATCATTATTAATTATTGTATTTATTCAGTTGGTAAAGGTGGCTGACCAATATAAGATAGCTTAAAGTGTTGACTGTGCCCTTAACAATGTTTCAATATGAATTACGCACAAACTTTCTCAAATATTGTTTCACACAGGTTCATTATTATGAGGATGGCAATGTTCAGTTGGTTAGTCATAAAGATGTACAAGATTCAATCCCTATTTCTGTGAGTATGCAATCTTTAATGTCTCATCTGTCTTTCTTTTAAGAAATTAGTTTGGGGGCTGGAGAGATGGCTCAGCAGTTAGGAACACTTTGCTCTTCTTCCAGACAACCCAGGTTCAATCCCTAATACACACAAACAGTTCCAGGGGATCCAACGCCCTCTTCTGGCCTCTAGGCATTGCATGACATGGGTGTACTTACATGCAGGCAATACACTCATAACACTTAAAATAAAAATAACTAAAATTTTTTTTAAAAGAAAATTAGTTTTGCATCTGATTACTGGTACTGATTTTAGCAGTTAATGACCCTAATTACTGACGGTCATATTGGTATAAAATTATTTCCTCAAAATAGTAATTATGACCTGAGGAAAATGTCTGTTCTTTGTTGTTTTTTTTCTTTTCTTTGTCTTCTCTTCTACCCTCCCCTCTTCTCTTTTCTCCTTTCTTCTCCTCCTCTTCCCTTTCTTAATCTTCCTGCTTCCACCTCCTAAATTCTGAGATTTTAGGTGTATGCCACCATGCCCAGCTTCAAGAAAATTGATTCTGTTACCTTCACCTTTTTTTTGTTGTTCTTATTTATTTAATAACCACATACTTAGAAGAAGCATTTCATTACAACAGCATTGACATATTCAATAACAATTTTCTGAGCTAAGATGCATCTTTTTCAGAATTGGCTGTAAATTTTTAGGTTTACAGTTGAATTACTACAGTTATACAATATTGTACTCAGTGTAAACCCTATAAGACATAAAGTTAAATGAGATCTTTAAAAAAGATCTCCATTTCATTATTAAAAAACACAGTTTCATACAGAAAGACTCATTTTTAATGCTACTAACATTCAAATGTTTGCACATGTGTCTCTAATCTCTATATATCTGATTATTACTAGTCACAGTCAGTTACACTTGGTTCCTTGGCACCTGAATATGGATATGAAGTCATAACAGCTTCATTTTTTAATTTCAAACATTTTTTTTTATAATCTCACTAACAGTGCACATGGTTTTCTTCTTTCCCCACATCCTCTCCAACGCTGGCTGTCTGATAGCACCTAGTCTAACAAGTGTGAGAAATATGTCAATAT